ATCTCTTTTAATGAAACATTCTGGAATATAAATTAAAACACATAGTGTGAGTGAAATATCTCCAACTTACGTTTTACATTCAGTGTGATGATATTACTCCACTCTGTCCAGGAAGAGCTTCTTGTGCCCCGGCAGCTGTATTCTCCACTTTCAGACTCAGTAACTGTGATGATTGTATATTCACTGGATGTTGGAGGTGTGTTTAACTTGGCTGGGCTCCATTCATACGTCCACTGAGCTCCTTCACCTCCCTGAATCTCACATCTGACAGTGACTGTCTCACCGCTGTATATCTGAGTCCAGGATGGCTGCAGGGTCACAGTGGGCTCAGGAGGAGCTGTTCAAATAAAAAATATATCATTAGCAGAATTATAGAAAATCATCATTGAAACTGTCCTGTTTTTTTTTCTCTTGTTAATGATAATTATCATTTTTAATCATTTTTATTTGAAAAATTAAAACAGGTAATTTGATGATATTTAGAATCAGCAGAGTGAATGACAACAATCCATAACCCTGAGTTTTCTGGTTCTGTCTCACTTTGTGTCTCCTGTGTGTTTTGGTCTTAATGTTGTTTTTATAAATCTGTGGAATAATCAAAACATCTATTCTGTATAGATAAGTTTTTTTCTGTGGCTGATTGTGACTCAGAGAAAATGGATGTCTTTTCATGTTGGGTCTCTGCCTTCTAGAGAGGACATGACAGTAATACAGCTGAGTTTCTTTTACTCTTGATTTTTTTTTTTTTTTTTTGCTATTGTCTGAAATGTTCCAGCAGAGGAGCAGCTGATGGCAGCATCTGTTCAGCATCTGTTCAGCATCTGTTCAGCCAAAGTGTTTCAACAACAACATTTAAAGTTTTGTCTGACTTTATTTGGAGGACAGTAGCTCACATTCAGTTTTGAAACAGTGATGCAAACTCTGCATTTGCAGCCAAAGCCATAAAGAAATTGGGAAAGTTAATTATTTCATGTGAAAATTTTTTTATTTTTTTCTATTCCAGATGTTTCACTGTGAGTGATTACTGAATGATATTATAATGGCATTAAACACTGTTGTACAAAGCTTTAGACACTAAACTAAAAAAGAAACCCAGAGTACTGAAATTATTTTGTTTTCTTTTTGAAATTAAAATGAGAGAAATATGTCCAACTTACGTAATACAGTCAATGTGATGACATCACTCCACTCAGTCCAGAAAGAGCCTCGTGTGCCCCGGCAGCTGTATCCTCCACTGTCAGACTCAGTAACGCTTCTAAATGTGTATTCATTGGATGCTGAACGTGTGCTTGACTGGTCTCTTCTCCATTCATACGTCCTTTGAGCTCCTTCACCTCCCTGAATCTCACATCTGACAGTGACTGTCTCACCGCTGTATATCTGAGTCCAGGATGGCTGCAGGGTCACAGTGGGCTTAGGAGGAGCTGATCAAATTAAAATATATCATTAGCAGACTGATAATTTTGACTTGAAAATCAACAATACTTTTAAAAAAATAAATTAAACCAGGTAATTTAATGATCGTTATATTCCACTATTTGCTTTTTTCTACATCTTTACATTTACATATTACACATTTATAAA